TACATTGCTGACCCACAGCGTTAGAAGCTAAATATGATTGCTGTTTTAAGCCACTAAATTTTGGGGTGATCTTTTCACAGAAAGAGATAAGTGATACAGGACCCGTGGGATTAGGTGAAAAAGAGCAGCCTGCGTCCAGGGAAGGCCTGAGCTGTTGGTAAGGGTAGGAGCTGAGAGCCCAGAGTTCCCTGAAACCAGGAAGCCTCAGCGTCTAAGCCTTACCTTGAAGGCCCCCTGGAAATTGGACCCACAATCAGATAGGTAGGGGAAGCACTTGGGGCAGAGCTACAGGAGAAATAGGACCAGGACACTCAGTTACCGTGGGGAGTAAATAAAAGTTTAATAATGGTAAGGAGCAGGTTTGTGCATGTAATCTCTCCAGAGACTGTCTTCTTCCAGATGCTTGGCCTTTGCTGCATCGCTGGGGTGAACTCCCCGTGAGATAAAATCCTGATTCATTAGCATTAGGTCTCCAGGGAATTCCGCCAAGTGTAGAAGATTTCGGTTTGTGAAGCCAGTGATGGACCGTTCCATTTTCTTGGTGGGGAGGAATGGCTTCCTATCATTTGGTTGGTATGCTGAGCATCTTTTTGGTTTTTTGGACCTAAAAATGACATTCATTTTTATTTCTTGTTTTTTCGTGTTTTTGCTCTCCGTCTCGTCTCTCTCCTCCTGCTTGGCATCACTGTGGTCTTGAGTGGCACCCTCCTCCTCCGCGTCCTGCCCCCGCCGCTCCTTGTCTTCCCGGGCCTTGTCCTTTGCCGTTGGGCTCAGCCTCGCTCCAGACAGAGCAGAAGAGCTCCTAAATCTTTCGGTGTAGGGTAGAAGCTGCTTATTTCTCAGGGCTTGAGCAAGCTGCATCCGTGCTACGTGTCTGTTGACGCTGAGCCTCTCTCGCCGGGGCATTCTGAACTCCTCCGGGCACACGATCACCTGTGCCGTCCATATTTTTTCTAGGGGCCCACAGGTGGCACATGGAGGGGAATGTTGTTTTTTATATTCCAGTGCCTGTTTGTAGTCTGAGGACAGCAACTGTAGCTTCTTGAGCATTTTCCGTTCTTCCTCTTGTTTGTAAGTCAGAAACCTTCTTGACGCTACGGTGTGTACACCACCTCGACGCTGACAACGGAGAGGGGATTGTTAAAATCTCAACAGGTCAAGGGCGGAGAGCACCCACAGAAAGGATTATCTGGTGGCACCCCTCCCCCCATTCATTGCTCAGTGTGTCTGAAACTCTGTGTGCTGGGAAAGAAGATGGAGCTCTGGGGTCAGACAGATCTGGGTTCAAATCCTAATTCTCT